GAAAGAACTGGAGTAATAGACTCAAACCTACTAGTCCCAGTTAAGAGAACGAGAACATTTTGAACGAGTTAATTATGCACATGTTAGTTTTATAGTTTAAATGTTTCACAAAAGGTTTCTGTAGAAGGTTTTTAGACATGTTCACATTTTGCAATTTTTAAATGAATAAGAAATGAAGTTTACCCACAGATAATAACCCGTTGAGAAAAAGTGCAAAAGTATGTCTTAATATTGCTACCAGGTCTTGCTTTAAAGCCTTTATTAATATCCAGCATTTGGTGTTGGCAATACTCTGAATGTTTCAACGCATTCTCTTTTTCCAGTTGCCAGCCTTTAGTCATGGATGACCCGTGTTTGAGTACATGCTTGTTTTTACCTACCTTACCAGATTGGAGTATGATACTTCTTAATGTCAATAAAACTTTTGGTTTTGAACAAATACCTCCATCGTGCCTGAGTTATACTTACTCAAACACACAAAGCAACCGTTGACCTCCCATCAGGCCTTCAGTGGAAAACCTTTACCTTAAGTTATCAAGGTCAGACTGAATGAACAAAATCATTTATCATTAAGTGGTCAAGTGGAATTCCAAAGATTGTTGTCCTGCAGAGTAAGGAGTCGGTCTAGTTCATCATTTACTACATGGATTGGAGCTGTTTAGAAATCTTCGGACAAGGAGATAGGTCAACACCCTCTGGCCATGGGTAGGGTCAGAGAGTTTTGAAATTGGCATGATTTAAAGGTACCTGCTGAAAACAAAATTGTGTATTTGATAAGTAGAATATTCTTTTTCATTTGAGACATCAAAAACACATTTTTACACGCCTACATTTAAAATGTCGGTTAGAAAGTAGGAAAAGCTTTGAACTTTTGATAGTAGTAGAGCACAACTCAGTATACCTTTTAAATTACAAATGACAAATTCTGAAAATGTTAAGACGTATAGTAATCATTCACAAATCTCAAAAGCTTATAGTTTATTCAAAAGAAAACATTAAATTTATAAACTGAGAAAACGTACGCATCTCCATGTTTACCACTACGTAGCTCCCCCTCTTCTTTTAACAGCAGTCCATAAACATCTGGATTCTGAGGAAATGAGTTTCTAGACCTTTCAAAGAGCAGTGTTCTCCCATTTTCACCAGGTGTAGGATTCTAGCTGCTCAACAGTCCTGTGTCATCTTTCTTTTTCATTCATTGTTTCATGATACATGAAATTCTTTTTAGTAGTTGGCAGTAGTTGGTAAGGCTAGTTCTTCAACTACAATCTACACTACTGTAATATATGCAGCAGGCTGTTTAGCACTTTATTGATGAAATATGTAATGAATGATAGATTTGTGGATGGCATGGTGAACTGTGGTCACAGTCAGTCCTTTCTAAAAAAAATATATATATATATAGTGTAGTTTAAATGACAGCTAGTGTCACTAATTTGCATGGTAAGAGTATCCTCCTTAAAGGAAACCACCAATCACCAACTATCAAGCTGTATGATATACATGCACTCCCAGCATGCTATTATAATAATTTAATTGAAATTCTTTTGGTTCTTTTTTAGTTGAAAACAACGTGTTTGTGTCTGATCATGTCAGTGAAATTAGCTGTATGTCAAATTTGAAAAATTTTGGAATTTTTAATTATAATATTTAATATAATATAATATTTAATATAATATAATTTATAATTTAATATAATTTAATATAATATAATATTTAATGCTACCAAATTTACTGTTAGTCATATTTTTTTTTGGTAAAAGTTAAACTATTTTATAAGCTAAAAGATATGACAAAACAAAGATCTAATCAAAGTAAGAGCCTATTTTTATATTTAGGAAATGAGTCATGTCTTTGAAAAGAAGAGTTTCTAGGACATTTGAATCTTTGTTTTATTTCTGAAAGATTTGTATACTTTTCCAACAAAACATCTACAACTGGCTGCAAGCTACATATTTTTTGATCAGTTTGATGTCATTTAAATTAAATAACACAAATAACATGATAAAAGTAATTGGTAGTGATGTTTGAAGAATGGACTGTGCCTTTCTGAATTAGCAGATTAGCAGGTTTCATTCTTATACAATAACAAATGTTCTTTTCTTAAAGCAAAACACACAATATGTAATCTAGCTAAATTGAATTCACTTTCTTTGTTACGTCTTGAGGGAAGCATCAGAAAAGAAGGAGGTAAGAGGATACGATTTAGAACAAAACTGGAGCTGCGGTTGTCTTGACCCGGGGTGTAGCCCAGGTTAGATCAGATTTCACTTTCAGAACGTGATGGGAGAAGAGGTATAACTGTTTCTTTTCAATTTATCCCAATTTATTTATGTCTCAGCGCAATTGTATATATACATGTAGACCATATATGACTTTGCTAAGTTTGTTACATTTGGGTTTTTTAACAACAACTATCTCAGTTAAGCAAGTCAAACTAGCAACACAAGCCAAAATCCCCAAACAACAGGCCTCTGGGTATAGATGAGGAATAAGGTTAGCACTCTTTCATCTCCAAGGTAGATCCCTGGACTAAGATTGTTTTTTTTTTCTTTTTCTTGCACGTTCATGTCTTTGTAGATGTTTTGTATCTTTTAGCTTAGTTTTGTACATATTAAATCTTCTTCTGGGGTTTTTACTCTTAGTGTTTATACATCCCCTAAAACAGTATTTTGGAAGAATGATAAAAATCCTCTGCAGTCACCAGATGTTGTGTTTCCTTTCTTGAGATACTAGGTCTTTACTGCAGCCACTTTCTGCCTCCAGTTTTGTCTTCAGAAACTGAAAAGCTGCTCTGTGGGGTTGATATCAGGTGGCTGAGTTGGCCTTTGAAGAATATCCCATTTCTTTGCGTTGAGAAGCCCTTGTGTTGCTTTTGCAGTATGCCTTGGGTCATTATCATATAATCGATAAACACTGGCATGCTTCAGACAAGCTGTTTCTCTCTTCCCGCCATTTTGGTAGTTAATCTTTGTTTCATCTGTCTATCCATTCTCCTCAACTCATGGGTCACAGAGGGGGCTAGAGCCTCTCCCCCCTCTGCATGTCTTTGGACTGTGGGAAAAACAGAAGTACCCCTTTAGGGGAAGAGAGATAATATTGCAAATTCCTTAAATAAAGGCCTCAGTCAACTGGTGAATACAGCCTAAGGGCCCTCACACTTTGAGGTGTTAACTGCTGACTGCTGAACACTGTTGTGCTCCCCAATTCTAAGTCACGTTCCTGCATTTAATTTCAAGAGCTGTAGAGGCAGTTTTGATTGGTGTGTAGCTGGAGGAATAGACACTCTCAAGGTGAGGGAAAACTTAACCACAGTCACACACATATATGCATTTTAAATCAATAAGTGCAACTCCTAAAGTTAATATTTGATCTGCTGTAAAGGTTGAGCTGGAGCAGGAGCTGAGCACTGACATGACTGGACTGTGTGGAAAATGCAACGTAACAGGTGTGACCTAAATGATAACCAGACACTTTATAGGAATATTTTAGGTTTTCTTTGCAAATGATAACAGTTGTTTACAGACACTTTGCTCAAAGAATGCACCTTTTCATGAATCTAGGCAATGAGCAGCAGCTGATCAGAGGGAGCACGCTTACAGATGACACATGCCAAACAAGGGATCGTGTGTCTGTTCCTAATCCAGTAGGTTCACGTGGTTTACATTAACTTGTTTTTTTTGTTTGTAATTTTGTTTCTGTATACAAATTTGAAAAATAGACAGATGATTCACTAACACACTATAACGGGTCAGTTATGCAGTCGTTATGAATCTGAATTTCTGAGACAACTGTATTTACAGTTTTCAAATAAAATGTAAGAATGTCTTTTAAACTACCAGGTTTGTGAACATTTCTTCTCCTACACTTTGAGCTGTCTGCAATCAAGTCGGCTTCATTACTTCCAGCTGTGTCACAAAAACATTTACAGATGTGAAAACAGTGAACACATAGGCTGTGCTTTCATTAGAGAGATTGTTCTGCACTGTGGAAAAAGCAGTAATGTGTGGGAGAAATGGAGATCTGTGACCCAGTGTGGTAACTAATTGTTTAAAATACTAATACTAATAACAATAGGTGGCATATCCTGTACCCACCATAATTTGATGTAGCTGTCCCTGTTTTGGTGGATGAATGTAACTCGACCAACTTGTCCGGGAGCACTGCTTTATGAAGAAGAGGGTGCTGCATTTGTTCCTACCTGCTCCAACCCAAACCCCCATTTTTCCAGCCAGGATATCACCAGTTCCTGCGTCTGCCCAGAGGGTGAGCCTTGCCAGAATTTCCCCAGGGTATAAATCATTGATGTGTTTTGTTCTTGTTGTTGTTTGTTTGTTTGCCACATTTTAAGGCTGTCCTGAACATGTGCGTAGGCAAAGTGCTTAATGATCACTTGGATGGCTTCCACTGTGTGAATGTGTCAAACTGCACCTGTGTGTTTGCTGGCAGGACCTGGACAGAAACGTAGCACCAAGTGTCAGACATGGTAAGGACCCAGATAAAGGGATTTATATTTATGAGGATTTTTTTGTGAATAATGAATTGAAATTATTTAAACCTCTTCATCAACCCTGTCTCCAGTTTGTGTGAAGGTGGGAAGTGGCGTTGCTCTGAAAACTGCCCAATTAAATGTCAGATTGAAGGTCAGTTTGTGTCAACATTTGACGGCAAACAGTACACTGTCCCTGGTAAATGTACATACCTAGCATTACAGGTAATTTGTCCTCCTCCCCTTTTCATTAAAATGAATCTTCTCGAGTTGCCTGTGTTAATAACTGCTGGTTTAATCGTTTATGGACACATGCAGGGCTTCAACTGGACAGTAATAATTACATTTTCTAAAAAGGATCCATCAATACAAGCTGTTTCCTCCAGCATTTGTAGGTGAAGACAGTCTTTCAACACTGAAATTAAAACCATCAACATCTAACTAGCAAGCATAAAAAGTAACCTTGAATACCGGTTTTTATTTTCAGGAAACGTATACATTCACAAACAACATGGCTAAAGTTGGAGACCAAGAGATTAGTGAATTTTATCAGTCTGGTAATTTCATATAAATTGTCTGGCAACCTTGTAATAGATACATGCCTTAATGCCTTAAATACTAACATTATATTATCTTACCGATTACCTTTTAGATGGGGCCCAGGTTTTCTGGCAGTCCTCTATGTACATTCAAGTCTTGACATCCTCTGATATTAAGCTCCGACTCCAGATGTCACCTGAAATCCAACTCTACATCTCTGTTCCTAGGAAACACAAGGGCATCATTTCAGGTTGGAAACACGCTGGTGATAACACATTAAACAGCATCATTGGTTGGCACGATCCACTTTGATCAGTCAGTCTATCGTTCAGCTCTTTGTGGCAACGGCAACAGTGACGGCACAGACGACTTCACCAGCAGCAGCGGCATCATCGAGCTCTCAGCTGAACCTTTTGCTCTGTCCTGGAGTCTGGGCGCTTGCACTGTGAACATACCCAGTACATGCATCAACACTCACAATGGTACCAGTTAATATTCTAACTGTAACTAAAACTGAAAAGGCATGTATATGTTCAAACACTGCAATGCACAACTGGAATTATAGTGGAGTTCAGCTTGATGACAAAATTGACATTTCGGTTTTCATATCAATGATTATTGTGGTGTGAATTATAAGGCAGCACAGATTTTTATTGGTAGTTTGCATGCTTGCCTGTGATACAGTAAAAAAAAAATCCCCACAAGATATGTTCACAAACTAAAATTTCATTTTCTAGAAATATTTGCTGATGAAAAGTGCTCTGTGCTGATCAGTGCGACTGCCATACTTGCTAAGTGCAATGTCCATTTGCCACCGGATCAATACTACACAGCAAGCACACATTATGAGCAAACAGCAACTTTGTGTAAGTTAATTTGACTTATCAATATTAAGGTGAAAATTGTATTTGCTGGCAGGCCTGTATTCAAAGAACCTGTAATTGTGGCAACAATATGCAGAGGTGTTTGTGCATTGCATTAGACAGCTACGCCAAAGCTTGTGCGAGTCTTGGGGTTTTAATCGGTGACTGGAGAAAAGCTGCCAACTGCAGTAAGTAAACTTTATTCACACACCAAAGGATTACATAATATATTGAATATATTAATAATGTTAATACCAGACACATTAGGTTTAGACTTTTTGGAGAAGAGCCAGTACTGAGATTTTTTTTAAAATTCAAAATAACTAGTCAGAAAAGATGAAATCAATGTTTTTCATGTTTTTAAGAACTTGTGCACACTACAAATGTAAAAGTCTGTCTGAAGTGTTTGGATTTTTGAAGGAAGCAAATATTGTGGAACTTTGCACAGCAGAAAATGTGACAAATTACTTTTAAAAAAGTGCCATTCGTGCTCATCACATTGTTGTCTCACAGCTCCGACATGTCCAAAGAACCAAGAGTTCTTCTACAACATCTGAGCTTGTAACAGTACATGCCGCTCCATTACTGAGTCTGACCCTCGATGTGGAGTGGATGATGCTTCTGTGGAGGGCTGTGGCTGCCCAGAAGGAACATACCAAAACCAAGGAAACACCTGCACTCCAAAGACAGACTGTGAATGCCACCATCGTGGTGGTGTAAGTCCACCAGGGCCGGTTGTTATCGATGGACATCATTGGTGAGATGACCCTCTAATTACACAGTATTTATAGGTATTTAAAATGATACAGTATCATTTTTTACAAGAAACCCACATGCCTGTCACAGGTTTGAATAAACTTAAAACACCTGAGTTTCCTAATGTGTTCTCAGCCTGTTATAATTCTAGACAAAGAGGAGTAGCAATTCTAATACATAAAAATATTAATTTCACAGTACTCGATACAGTTATAGATCCAGAGGGCAGATTCCTAATCGTCAAACTATCTATACTTAACCAAAAGCTAGGTATTGTAAGTATATATGGTCCAAATGTTGATGACCCCTCATTCTTCCACGTTTTTTTTAGTACACTCTCCGAACACCTAGATTGCACAATTGTTCTTGGGGGAGACCTCAACCTGGGACTAAATGAAGAAATGGATAGGCTCAATACAGCAGGAACTCAGCGTAACTGGCAGTCCACAAATATAATCAAACAGTATATGAGCGACTTTGGTCTTTGCGATGCATGGCGCTCCCTTCACCCCAACAGTAAGGAATATACTTTCTTCTCACATGTCCATCACTCCTACTCTCGTCTGGATTATTTTCTGGTCAGCAGCTCACTGCTGAGTAACATTACAGACACTGAGATTCATCCTATAGCTGTCAGCGATCATGCTCCTGTATCTTTAACACTAATACAGATGAATAATACTACACCAAGAAAAAACTGGAGATTTAATACATCACTGCTCAAAGACGAAGAGTTTATCAAATACTTTAAAAAAGAATGGACTCTATATTTAGGCTTTAATGACATTCCTGGAACATCAGCATCTGTCCTCTGGGAAGCAGGGAAAGCTGTGATGAGAGGTAAAATAATCTCTTTCTCATCACATAAGAAGAAAGAAGAAAACAAAAAAATTCAGGAACTAGAGAAAAACATCAAATCCTTAGAAAAAGCCTATGTGTCACACCAAGATCAAGAAATATTAAACAAAATACGCAAGACAAAACTAGAATTAAATGAAATTATTAATAAAAAGACTAAATTCTTAGTACAAAGACTTCGCCTGCAAAATTATGAACACGGTAACAAATCCGGACAATTTCTTGCTAACCAGTTAAAAATCAATAAAGAAAAAACAACTATATGTGCTGTTAAAGATTTATCTGGGAATACAATATATGATCCTAAAAAAATAAACAAAATTTTTAGGGATTTCTATGAAACTTTATATACACCACAAATAAACCCATCTAAAAACGAAATTGATCAATTTCTCGACAACATAACTCTTCCAAAATTATTAGACACCCAAGCAATAGCACTGGATTCGCCACTGACGCCAGGTGAACTCCAGGAAGCTCTGATAAGTATGCCCAATAATAAGGCTCCAGGTCCAGACGGCTTTCCAACAGATTTTTACAAAGAATTCTGGACGATTCTGGCACCAGTTTTTCACAGGATGTTGCAGGAAATCAAAGAAAATGGTAGACTACCACCAAATATGAACTCTGCAAATATCAGTCTCTTACAAAAACCAGGCAAAGACCCTGTATTTCCTTCAAGCTATCGTCCAATATCCCTTATTAATGTAGACCTTAAAATAATCTGCAAAGCTCTCTCAAAGAGATTAGAGAAAATAACCCCCCTTTTTAATTCATCCTGACCAAACTAGTTTTATAAAAGGTAGGCACTAACAAATACATGTAGATTACTTAATTTAATAGACTACTCATGCAGTAAAAACCTTGAAACTACAATATTTTCTTTAGATGCAGAAAAAGCGTTTGACAGAGTTAACTGGAAATTTCTATTTGCAACTTTACACAAATTTGGTTTTGGACCCTCTTTCATAAACTGGTTAAAAATATTATATAATTCCCCAACAGCTTGTGTCAGAAAAAATGACCAAACATCCTCCAGCTTCTCTCTTCTGAGGGGCACCAGACAGGGATGCCCACTCTCCCCTTCACTGTTTGCAATTTTTATTGAGCCACTAGCAGCAGCAATTAGACAGGCTACAACAATTAAGGGCATAAAATGTAAGAATATAGAACATAAAATCAGCCTTTATGCAGATGATGTGTTACTTTTTCTCCAAAACTCACAACCCAATCTCTCTGGGGTAATTGCATTGATAAATTCTTTCTCAAGTGTCTCAGATTATTCAATTAACTGGTCGAAATCAACAGTTCTTTCGATTAATTGCTCCTTCCATAATTCTTTTCCTTCCCCACTGCAATGTGGAAATATAAAATATTTAGGTATTAATGTCTCTCCTAAACTTTCAGAATTAACTAAATTAAACCACATCCCACTTTTAAAGACAGTAGAAGGCGACCTGGCTAGATGGAAATCTTTGTTTGACACACACTTATTTTCACTTCTGCATGGCAACACATTGTCATGATCCCAAAGTGCCATTGCATTTTGGAGTCACTTGAGGGACTTTTAAGTGATTTAAGTGACACATATATTAGGAAATTTTCAAATTTTTGTACCTCTGGCTGTGGTTGTGCATCATCTGAAAAATGCTGCTGTTTTACTTATTATTCAAGCTCATTTTTGCAAACATTTGTTTTGTTTTTCAGTTGAGAAGACATGCAGCTATAATGAACAGACATACAAGGTGTGTTGTGTCTGTGCTCTGTGTTTCTTTTTCCTTGGAGATCAGTTTGAATTTGACTGAAACAAAATGATAACAAAATATCTTGTGTTGTCTGGTTTATATGTGTGTAGGCAGGGGACAAATGGACAGATCCTGCCCATCTCTGCAAGTCATTTAGCTGCAGCAAAGAAGGGATTCAGACTGAGACTAAAGTCTGTCCCAAAGAAAGCTGCCCCAAGGTACTGAAAACCTACACAGTGATCATGAAACTGTAACCCGTGTCTAAGAATATGGATTTTAAAACAATAAACTTATATTTTAGAACTTGCTCTTAGAACTGAAGAAGTTAGGACACTTTTCCTTCCAAGCTCCTTAGACTTATATTTTAAATATTTACTTCTATTCAAAATTGTAATAAAATGTATGCATGTCATATGTAATTAGACTAGTTTTAAATATTCAACCATTTTGTCTTAAAATATGGTAAAAACTATGGTCAAAGTGGTTATTTTACTACAAAAGTACAGTATGCATGGAAGAACAAGCTTCTGTTTTTTTCCAGGAGGACAGAATTTGGGATGACCAACACTGCTGTTATACATGTAAGTGAAGACAAAAGGAAAACCATGAGTTATTTATAACTCTGAACTTTGTCTAATAGGCTGCTTTCACTTTCTTTATTTTTACAGAAGTCAAACTTGTAACTAAAGATAACTAATAATCTGCAGCTCTGCTGCATCCAAAATGTTTAATGTCATTCATTTTTGAAAGGATTTGCTCACTGTGCTTCATCTTCTGTTATACTTCTGCCACTTTCAGGTAAAAGGGGCTGTGCTCCCAGGGTGTCCAGCTTCAACATCACCATAGAAAACTGTTCTACTGTAATACAGATACCCGCGTGCCAGGGACAATGTTCGTCTCAATTGAGGTAAGAGCAAATCTTCACTGTTTAAGTAAAAATACAGGTTAACAGGCATGCCATCATATAAAAGGAAAATGAAAACTAGGGCATAAGTGTAAGTGAAGCTTGAATTGTAGACATTTAGATGGATTTTAATCTACTTTCCTTATTCTGTATGTTTAAAAAATACCATTACCTTCCTCTGTCCTTTTTAACCCTTCCCCCTCACCGCTTTCTCTTCGTTCTCTCATCCTCCAACTGCCACAGGGTGCTGGTGTTAAATGGTGACTTGATGTTGCAGCAGGAGTGCAAATGCTGCGTGGAGCAGAACTCAGAGAAGATATCGACGACCCTGCACTGCTCTGACCTGACTACCAGACAATACGCTTACAAGCACATCACCAGCTGTGTGTGTGAATCTTGCAGCAGGATCTGAAATGTAGAGCTAGCAAAACCAAGATGAAGCCATTTGAAATCATTAGATTAAATAGAATTCAAATCTAATTCAGCAGTACTGGATGGTTTTCTTCTGTGTTTAAAGAAGGTACTGAATCTGTTTTCTGTCAAATAAACACATCTGACAATCACCAAAAGACTCTGTAAATATCTTCTCTGTTTTTGTTCACTGTCACATTGATTTGACCTTAATTGCTTCTGCATTTATTAAACACTTCCTGGAAATTACAAAAAGAGTTGCTCAACAGTTGTATCTAGCCTTGCAGGTACATTTTAATTAGTGCTGTGCGATACTGCCGATTTTGGTATTGATACCAAGTAAATACAGGGCAGTATTGCTAATACCAATCTGATATAGTCTCTGATATTTTGATACATATTTTCATATAATAGTATATAATACAAGAAAATATGATGTGCACATACTGGGGAGGGTAGACAGTCTTTCTTTTTGCAACATCCCTGGGCTTCAATTTTAGCATAGAGTCATGTTGGCTGTGGCCTGGTTGTCTGGCTATTGTGTGGCAATGTCCTGCTTCTGCTAGTACTGTTAACAAATTATTGTTTCCTTTACTCCTGTTTGTTCAGGTGTAAGAAGGTTCTGCTGGGCAAAAAAAACATGGAAAAAAAAGATTGTGAGGCACGCAGGCAGGGTTTCTAGGGTGGTGGTGCGACTGCTAACAGGGAAAGGCAGGCTAAGGCCAGCAGATGGAGCCACTGGAAAATGTAACCACTCTCTCAGCTCAGCCATCTCTCTAGTGATAATAGGACCATCTTTATTTAAAGGAAAGGCAAAGCAAGCAAGGAGTACATGAATGGGTGTATAAACGAGTCTTGAGTCTTGAGTTCTCCAAAGAGAGCACACAGTGAAGTCGTGTTAAATTAAACATTTTATTACAGAAACTTACATATATGTGACCTTTACACACACTAATGTTAAATTGTGATGATTATAGCAACACTCTTTGGCCTGGTTTTCTCCTTAAACATAAAAAACAAAGACACCTAAATAGAACTAGCACATTTAGAATTAAAGCAGGTTTTTATTAGTTATCGTTTGATTATCAATGTTTCATTAATTATATGCCTATTAAACTTCATGACACTTCATGATACATCAACTTCATGACGTCATGATACTCAGAAGTCCTGCCTTTGCATTTATTATCAGTGTGCGTCTGGGTTTTATCCTAATATAAAAGAAAACTGTGGCAAGCATTCTTGCTGTGGACCTGAATTTGTTGGTCTCTACAGAAACAGAAAAAAAAAGCATGTAGTTTAATGTTTTTAAGTGTTATTATAAATCACAGCTGTCATCTTTAACAGTCCAGAAAGTAATGGAAACTGAACATTACATAGCAGCAATGCTAAAATATGCCAAGGGTTCATTTGGTGAAAGCTGTCACAGGCAGTGCTGTGGGCACAGATAAGGTGCTGTCCCCAGCATCTGCTGCACAAACTAGAGATCTAGTTAAAATACTAGGAGATGGTGGAGTGCATTGTTGCGGAGACCAGGGTGGAAACAGCTGGATTCTCTGTATCATGTGGCATCTCATCTGCTGTGGTGATTTTCTCTTTCTCGAGTGTTGTGAAGGTAAACTTGCACCACTTCATCACACCACTGCTTTGGCTGTGGAGTTATTCAATACCTATAAAGCCTACCAAAAACTAAACTGGCTTGTGCATTCTGTCACAGTCTGGCTGAGGCAGACTGTATGTATTGAGAAGAGTGGACCCAAAATGCAGACACAAAAGGAATGCGGAACAAAACTTGGATTAATAAAAAGCGAGCCGTTTAACGAGGCTGGTAAAAAAGGTACAAACAAAGGGCAAGGCAAACTGAAGTAAAACTAACATTAACCTAACAACATGGAGAAACCTAGAAACATGGCATGGAGAACATGGCGTGAACAACAGACAACCTGACAAAGAATGAACAGAAACACAGAGACTAAATACACACAAGTGGAAACTCATAGGGAAACAGCTGAAACTAGTCTGACATAACGAGACAAAGGAAGCAAAGCTATCTACATTGACATAGGACACAGACCTTCAAAATAAAACAGGAAACATAATGAAACACAGACCTGACAACATGAACTTAACAAAAGACATGCAGACATGAAACACACGAAGGGCAAGGGAGACTTAACACAGGGGTAGGAAGACACAGGGGGAATCTAATAACTAAGAACTGTAATGAAAACCTAGGCATAATAGGAATAAACTTAGAAAACATAAAGGACTTAAATATAAAAATAAACTAAAACTCAAAATGCTGGGTTAGAAGATCCAGGATCGTGACACATTCAGCATGCGGAAGAAGGCAACTCCAACCCAACTGTCCTCTCCATTTCCTGATTCCCTGCTCCAACAGAAATACCTGGATAAATGTCTCTTTCAGGATCTCATCCAGGGATCCTGAAAACTATTAAATATTTATTGCATGCAAAGAAGTCAAATCATGATTTTCCTCATTCCTACTTAAATTCGAGTAATTTACAGTTTCTAGGTAAAAGGCACAGCGGTTGCTAAATTTTGGACCAATTGCAAATGTGAAAATGTCTCTTGACTTATATATATCTCCATCTTCAGCTAAATAACATAACATCCCTCAGGACAATGTGGAATGGAGCTATTTTGTTGTGTGAATCAGTTTCCCGTCCCCTCCAATATCAACACAATGCAGCACATTCTCATTCAACCACTGAGAGGTTTGGTGCCCGAAACTCCTGAACTGCAACTGATGTAAGTCCAGTCTGCTTATTATCTTGGTCCCCACCATGACTCAGAGAGCCATGTTTGCTCTTTGTCTATACGTACACTTGCACAGAGTTTTTGAAGGAACTCAGCTGGTAGGTTGTTCCAAACATCTTGGAGAAGTAACCACAGATCTTCTGTGGATGTAGACTTCCTCACATCCTTCTGTCTCTTCATGTAATCCCAGACACACTCAATGATGCTGAAATCAGGGCTCTGTGGGCGCCATACCTTCACTTCCAGTACTTCTTGTTCTTCTTCATGCTGAAGCTTGTTTTCAAAAGCCTGGATCCTTGATGGGAATGCATCATATTATGGAATTGGGAGATGTGGAAAGGCACCATCAGTGCTGAAATATTTTGGCAGATTTTAAAATGACATATCCCATTTAGATGATGGCTTTTTGGGGGGTTGCATGCTTCAGCAAGACAAAGCTAAACCACAAACTGTATCTATTACAACACCAGGGCTCTGTGGTACAGGACTCCAGGTGCTTAAATGGTCTGTCTGCTGTCCAGACCTTTCACCAACTGGAAATGTGCCGAAGCACATTACAAAACTAAACATATGACAAAGAAGGCCAAGGGCTGTTGAGCAGTAAGAGTCCAATATCAGATAAGAATGAAACAACATTCGTCAGTTGCCAAAAGAAGAGGGGATGCTGCACAGTGGTAAACATGCCCATATCCCAACTTTTCTCAGATGTGTTTTTAAATTCAAAGTTAGCTAATAATAATAATAATAATAATGATAAAATAACACTCCCACAAAGCGATATGGGGTAATAATATGTGAGAACTGATCTTAGGCCTAATTCTTTTAAATGTGCAGTGCTAATGCAGTGAAACAGTCACCCCTTCCCGCTATTACAAACACACTTTATATCCATCCAGTGTCCAGATGCACTATACATTATTTTGCTGCGAATTTACAATAACCATGATGTTTGCAGATAGTTTAACTGTTAACCTTAAAAAAAACCCCATCATTTCACAGCTTTATTGACAAGTTTCCAATCTGTCTCACAAAGGTGACAAGTCATTGTGATTTGATGTGATTTGCCGTACTCACTGAGAAGGACAAGCAGAGAGAAAACCATTGTTAAAGGCTATCAATAGGACAGGAAGACTTTGATCACATCTTTGAGGCACCCAACCGTACAAAAAGGCCGAGTTTCTCCGGAGGAGGAAAGTATTTCACTTTGAAAGCAGCAGACCAACAGAAACAGCAGGTTTGTATTACAATAAGTTTCGACCCGTTTCATGCTGCTGTTTGTTGTCTGTTCAACAGGATGGCTACTCAGGAGGCTTATGAAGTTCTCAAAGGAGGATGTGCGGGTCTGTGAATATCTGTGTGTGTGTGTTTGTGTGTTCAGTGAACTTCTGAACCTTTCGATGCTGTTCATACAATCACTCGACGAAAGCCACCACCGCTGTCACATTTGTACTTGTGTGAACGAGTGGCTGTGTGTGAGAGTTGAAGGGGTTGGATGATATTGACATGAAAACAACCTCACATGAGTGGCTGAGTTACTGATTACAGGTGATGTTCACTTGTAATTTGTTAAAGATAAGACTCCCGTTTTCAGCACAAAGTCCTACGCAAAGGGACAGTCAGCCTTCCACCGCCATCCCTCAGAGGACCACTGCTGGTTGTCAGGTAAGTGCACTTTTTTTGAGACAAAATAGTTGCGTTGATCTTTTTGGGGCAAACTCTGGAAACAAATCAATGCACTGCAGCTAGACACCTTTTAGGATGTTACTACCTGAGACAGTATCTAGACAACGTTAGGGGTTTTTTTCCTGCTCGTAATCTTGTTGTGGCTTTTCAGGTCTTGTGCTATTCCATTTTCTACTGTCCTGGGTTTCTCTGAAGCACGGCAGCATCATGAGCGTAGAATCCAAGAAAACACGTGAGGCATGCTGCTCCAAGCTTAAGGTCAGAAACCCTCACTGCTTTAATGACTGGAAATTTAAATGCAAACGTGAATAATAATAATGGAGTGGATTTATATAGCGCTTTTCAAGGCACCCAAAGCGCTTTACAATGCCACTATTCATTCACTCTCACATTCACACACTGGTGGAGGCAGCTACAGTTGTAGCCACATCGCAGACTGACAGAAGCGAGGCTGCCATATCGCGCCATCGGCCCCTCTGGCCAACACCAGTAGGTAAAGTGTCTTGCCCAAGGACACAACGACCAGGACAGAGAGCCCGGGGATCGAACCGGCGACCTTCCGGTTACAGATATGCTTCCCAACCCCCTGAGCCACGGTCGCAAAGCAGAGTTAGAAAGCAGTCATTAAATCAAACTTTCAGTTTTTTTGTTTTTTAATGTTTGGGGGGGGGGGGGCGGAGGTCATATGGCTGTGAGATGTTTTAATTAAATGCCATTTACTGATGTTTACTGCCCCATTTTATCAACAACGTGACAGTTTAATAGTCCATTACAGGCTTATTTGATTTATGTTACATTGCACATAACAGACTGCAATTCAGAAAACACAGGGTACTAACAGCTCTAAAGTAAGTTGATAATGCCTGTTTATATGAATATTGATTTTGGTGTGTTTCTTTGCTTGTTTGCATTGTGTTGTTTTCAACAAAAAGTCACCAGCACCCCTTGGGAAAGACTGAAATGTCCCCGAACTGTTTGTGATCATTCACAGTTTGTTCTGTGACCTTCAACTCGAGTCCCTTTTCAATCATTAACGATCTTACTGTCAAACGTAAAGCTGGATGCAAGGCTTGCATTCCTAAAATAAAAATAATAATTGATTCACGGCTTTTTGTCAGAAGTCTTCAAAAAACAAACAAACAAAAAAAACGAAAAACCAAAATGAATGCACGATGCTTTTTTAAGGAACAAATTGCAAAAAAAAAATTTTTTTTAAATGCCTGATGTAGTAAATATTTTTTACATTTTGCCAGAAGGCTCAATAAACACTCCATTTTCAATTTTCTATCAATTATTTTATGGTCCAAAGGTTTAAGGGGTTCCATTCGGCGACCGTGGCTCAGGGGGTTGGGAAGCACATCTGTCGCCGGATCAATCCCCAGGCTCCGTGTCCCGGCCGCCTACAGGTGTTGGCCAGAGGGGCCGATGGCGCAATATGGCAGCCTCGCTTCTGTCAGTTGTTGTGGCTACAACTGTAGCTGCCTCCACCAGTGTGTGAATGTGAGAGTGAATGAATAGTGGCATTGTAAAGCGCTTTGGGTGCTTTGAAAAGCGCTATATAAATCCAATCCATTATTATTATTATTAATTCAGTGAGATAGTTAAGAAAAGAATGTGTTCAGTGATTAGCTTTTCATCAAACTGGATACATTATATTATGCTAAACACTTTTTTAAATGTAGAACACAGTGCACATCTATAGCAAAATGTTTGCTGTCTGTTTAACATTTTACAAGTTATGGGTTTTCTTTTTTAGGGTTTTTTTGTATTGCAACCAAAAAAGAGGCTTTTTGGCTGCAATACAAAGAGAATTGTTTCTAACATTACCTAAACTGGTTGCAAAGCTTGCATACATGTTCTTATATTTGTAAAGAATATACTTGCTCATTACAAGAAAAGATATTTCTTAGAAAGAGGACTAACCAATCTAACTGAAAGGGATTTATCACCAATGGTCTTGGTCTTGATTCGTACTTTGGGTAGCTAGCGATTGTTAGAAACAATAAACAGAGTTTGTCTAGTGCTTAATGTTTTACCCTGATGGGATCAATAGTGGGATCATCTATTACTGCCAGTGGTGTGTGCTACAACTTTGACAAGATCAGTTCAGGGAAGATGATTGATAAGTGATGAATTAGTGTGGTGAGTTTTTAAAATCTGTTGTAACCACTCTTATTCTGGTATCAGTACTCTAATCCCATCAAATGTCACTTAATGTAAATCACTGGTAAAAGCATTTGTGAAGTGCTGTGGGTATGTTTAGTGTGTGAGTTGATTCTATTATGGGAAACACTGTCATTCACCTCCCTATAGGTCACATCAGAAGAAGGGATTACAATTCAATCATCCAGGTCACAACAATCATTTTGACTGTTTAAAGAAATTCTGAGAAACCATTTGGCAGCTCTTTCCAGTAATCCAGTCCAATTAAATCTAGAAAAGCTCAATCTAACTGGTTATGTGTGTTTTCCAGCTCTTCCTGGCCTCCCTGGCATTTGTATATTTTGCCAAAGCCTTTGCTGGAGCTTACATGAAGAGCTCCATCACACAGATTGAAAGACGGTTTGATATCCCAAGCTCCCTGATTGGTGTTATAGATGGCAGCTTTGAAATGGGTATGCGCTTTTTTTTTTACTGAATGCAGCATGTTAGCATTATGGTTTATATCAACTACAGGAATTTATCTAATTTATTGACTACAAAGCACAAATTTCAGGTTATGTTATAAAGATAAGCAGACTGCTGAACTCTCATGCCTGGCAAAGACTGTAGCTGTTCATTGATTCATTCCATAATCATTCTTAGTTATTTTTAATTCTTCTCTACAGGCAACCTGCTCATCATCGCCTTTGTGAGCTACTTTGGTGCCAAGCTCCATCGTCCCAGACTGATTGGAATTGGTTGTCTGATCATGGCTGTGGGATCCTTCCTTGTAGCCCTGCCTCACTTCTTCCAGGGACTGTCAGTACAAAGTTTCCTTCTTCTTCATGAATATAATAATGAACCAATCAAATAATCAGATTACTAAGAGTTATGTTGAGCTCCCAGAGAATAAAGACTGGAAATGTTTGATGAGATTCATAAATGCCCAAAAGCTGTAATCGCATAAAATGGCTAAAAGTGCATGTGTGTTCTATAGCATCCAAGCAATGAAGGAGTATATGTACTTACATGTTTCACAATTTTCAGATAATACTTTGAATATTTTCCAGGTATAAATATGAGACCAGTGTGTCTCACAAAGCTGCTGTCAACAGCACTGAGACCATCCTGCCCTGTCTGTCCAACCACAGCATGACTGATGCAGATGACACACTTGATGCAGAGACCAAATTAGGTATTTAGCAGCCACATTCCCTGCAATGGATCAGAAGTAAGATCACTCAAGTCTGAAATAGACTGTTTTGGGGTGATTTTAGTCATTTTTCTGTTTTAGATTTTATACACTATTCCGTTCATGATATGCACAATGTAAAGTCAAGTTTCTCCCCCCGCCCCCCAGAGTGTGAAAAGGCTGCTAGTTCACCCATGTGGATCTATGTATTCTTGGGAAACATGCTGCGAGGAATTGGAGAGACTCCCGTCATGCCACTGGGAATTTCCTATCTGGATGACTTCTCCAGAGAAGAGAACACCCCTTTTTATTTGGGTTAGTCATCATTTACGGTTTTGCTGTCTTTCACTGTTTTCATGCATTTTAATACTATCCACTTGTATTTATTATTTTATCCATTTTTCATAACTGCTGTATCATGAACTTTGACATATTACCCTCTGTTTTTTGACATTTCTTTGACCTTGTACTCAATTATCCCTTGGTGTTTCCTCACTGCCTAAAATCCTAAACGTTCAGAAGGCCGCTGTACTCCTCCATCATGGCCAAATCTCAAACTGCTCAATACTTATCTTCTCTTTTCCGCTCCGTTTGCCAGCCTGCATCCATACAGTAGGAATCTTGGGACCTATGTTTGGCTTCATGCTTGGGTCCTTCCTTTCCAAGATTTATGTGGACACTGGATTTGTGAATTTAGGTATGGTATTACAAAAAGTAATTTTTAATATTGTGTAGCAATACTGTTTACCTGCGATGTTAGCAATATCCTGAATGAAGTGTTTAATTAGGCAGAGAAGACTTCTGGTTGACTTGAGCAACACTGAAACTCATTCGTGTCTCAATTTAGCAAAATGTTTTCTTCCATTTGGACTTTCTAACGCAACATGACATTACAAAAGTCAAACCATTTCTTTACTGAGAAATTATGGGTCTACCAGAAGCAAGAGGATTTCACAACACTTCATCCTGTTGACATAGTTGACATAAACTCTTCCTTCACTACTTGGATTAGAGCTATTGACATTCCCTGAGCCAGAGAACTGCCTCCATACTTCTACTAATGACTAAGCTGTTATGATGAAAGGGCTTAGAAGTCACTTATAAAAGTCCTACACATAAAATGTCTGTAATAACCTGCGGTCTTTGCCTTTCCCCTTCTTCCAGACACCATCACCATCACCTATAAGGACTCCCGCTGGGTGGGAGCCTGGTGGCTGGGCTTCATAGTGACTGGCACAGTGGTTCTACTGTCTAGTATCCCTTTTTTTTTCCTTCCAAAGTCTTTACCCAAGCAAGGGCAAGAGCAAGAGGAAATTCAAAGCAAAAGTACAGAGCTTGCAACAAAGACCGAGCAGGAACAATTCCTGCCAGAGGAAACCCAGGAGAAAGTCAAATTTCAGGAAATGGCTAAAGGTAATTCACTGCTCAGTAGAGCATTTATCCTAACAGATCTTTAAGAAAGTCTCGTGAAAATGCATAATTTTGTAGATATAACTGCGAGATTCAAATTCCCATTTAGTATAATTTGAGATTATTATTAAATTTTGATCTCAAAAAATCCATCATGAAAAGTATTAAACATGATAAATAGTACAATCTCACTGGGAAAACGAGGTTTAGTAACGAGGTAATTTATGTCATTACAATCAGGCATGCCTTACAAACCCTATCCTGCTAATAGATAGTTTATACAATATTTTAACAAAGCAATAATATTTTTATTTTACTTTATATTTACTTAGTTTTATGTGTCTATAAAAGTATTTTCCTCTTCTCTTTGATGTGCTTTGCACTTCACCAGATTTCATTCCATCTCTGAAGCGACTCTTCAGAAACAGAATCTACTCGCTGATTATCCTTGCCTCCCTCGTGATTGTCAACGGCTTTATTGGCCTGATCACCTTCAAGCCAAAGTACATAGAGCAAGTCTACGGCCAGTCAGCCACCAAAGCTACTTTCCTCATAGGTACGGAGCAAAAACTGGCTTTCATTCACTTTCTGTTTTCTTCACTATGTAGCCCAAGGCAACTGAAACAATGATGTTATTGAAGGGAAGCCTGATTGCGAGTGATAAGGCAGACTGAAAATGCAAGAACTACTCCTTTTCTGTGTGTGTGTGTGTGTGTGTGTGTGTGTGTGTGTGTGTGTGTGTGTGTGTGTGTGTGTGTGTGAGCTAGAATGTTTGTCAAGTAGCATTTAATTACCAAGTGGCTAACCGGCAGGGTTATTGTTAGAATATGAATTGTTCTATCACCAAACGTTATAAAAACAGTTGGCTGCTGAACAAAACCATTTAATGCAAACAACTTTTGTGTGTACTCAGTACTCTGCGCATGAATGGACATAAGTAGACCTGCAAAGTCTGCTTATGGTACATTGCTGCAATTGCAAGAGCTTCTTGCTGGATTGTGAAAACATTATGGAGTTACCTTTTTGTTAAAATAAAATTGGTTCAGAAAATATACGGAAAACTGGAATTTATGCAGTTCCTAAATCCACTTATTTTACTATTCAAGTGCTCCTGTTTATGTGTTACAAGCTGATTTGCAGAACGAATGTTACTATGACAAAGCTAAAATTTTGACACACTGAAAAGGTTCATGTTTATAACTTTTCTATCCTTCCTTGTAGGTATATTGAACCTGCCAGCGGTAGCTCTGGGTTTCATCACTGGAGGTTTTTTGCTGAAGCGTTTCAAGTTGGGTATTGTTGGAGCAGCCAGGGTGGCAATTAGTGCTTCTTTGGGGTCGTTTTGCCTGCTTGCCGTTCAGATTTTCGTCCAGTGTGAAAATGCAGAGGTGGCCGGTCTCAGCATGTCATATCAGAGGTGAGTGGAATGGACAAACAAGCCTATTTGTTAAGCTAGGTTACACTAAATTTTTGGAAGTTAAATAGGTTATTTTAGTCTTATAAACTAAAAATATGCTCATAAATGTCTCCACTGACAGTGTTAATGTGTCTTTACTTGTCTGTCTGTACCAGAGTCCCTCAAGTGTCCTACAACCCACAGACTTTGCTGTCTCAGTGCAATGGACATTGCTTCTGCTCAGTGAAGCACTGGGACCCGGTCTGTGCATACAACGGCATGACTTATGCCTCACCCTGCCTGGCCGGCTGCCAGACCTCCACCGGAATGGGCAAAGAAATGGTGATGATGGTCTAGACAAACAGAGAGCTTAGAACAGATAAAGATTTTCTGTGAATAAAAAAAACCTCAGCTCAAACTCACCGACAGACCACAATTAAGGCTGATTTTTAACTTTTTCTTCTTGGTTTTTAGGTGTTTCATAACTGCACCTGCATTAATGAGGCAGGACTAGCTGCAAACGCATCTGCAGTGCTGGGCCAGTGTCCCAGGAAGGATGATTGTGACATAAAATTTAAAATCTACATGGCGTTGTCTGTAATTGGGTCCTACATTTCTGCCTGTGGAGGAACGCCAGGATACATTGTTCTGCTCAGGTGCGAGACACAATTTGACTAAAGAACATCTGCTTCTAAGTTTGTGGTTAAGCAGATGTTCAAGCTTTTAGGGGTAACAAAAATCAATTTTTTTTGTGGAGTTCTAGTTTGGCAAACATGTATATACAATATGTACCCAGTGTTGGGAAGGTTACTTTTAAAACATATTCCACTACAGATTACAGAATACATGCCCCAAAATGTATTTTTTATGGATTCCATTATGTTACTCAATGAGAGTAACGTATTCTGAAAACTTGCAGCAATCTTGTATAGAAAACTATTCCGCATGGATATAAAACGGGTCCACGCCGGGCCCGCGCCTCCGAACCGTAGTAAAGGGGCCTCTGGACCTCATTTTTTTGAATAACAACTGAAGAAAAGACCGCTGTGTAATCCATTTATTTCAACAAAGTAACTGTATTCTGAATACCACCTTTTTAAACAGTAACTGTAACGGAATAGAGTGACTCATATTTAGTATTTTAAATATGTAACGCCGGTACATGTATTCCATTACTCCCCAGCACTATATGTACCATATACTGTTTATGGTATCACTGAAACTGGAACCAAAGGAGATCTACTCCTCAAAAGACCTGTTGTTTTAAAATGTATTAGGAAAAAGTTAGCAACTCTCTTTTTAAAAAAGAGAACTACTATGTACACTAAATATGCCTACAATTGCCATAAATTTTGCCAGTTGATGATTTCTTATTTTTTTTCTCTTTAAATTATCTGATACTATATTAATTGAATTTAAAGTTCCAATCTGATACCACCTTATTGTGTGTTTTAATGCTCACATGTGTATCTGATATGGTATAATTTGGTCAACAATTCAGGTCTATACAACCAGACTTGAAGTCGCTGGCTTTGGGTATGCAGACACTGATCGTAAGAACTCTGGGTGAGTACTAAAACTAAAACCCAACCCACACATCGAGCCTGTAAAATTGTTTTTTAATCACATGTGATTTGTTTTACAGGTGGCATCCCTCCACCTATATATTTTGGAGCACTGATTGACCGAACCTGTTTGAAGTGGGGTACAAAGCATTGCGGTGGCCGTGGAGCATGCAGACTCTATAATGCTAATGCGTTTAGGTACAATTAAATCTTCATCATTGTGCTTGAATATGTCACTTGTAATGTACCACAGTTTAATTACCTCAATGCAGTGGTTTCTAACCAGTGAAGTGACAATCTTTATATTTTATAGAATTTTGTGTACCTAAACTTGTACACAGACAGTTTGACTTGTACAAATATATGTTTTATGTAAACAAAAATGTTTAACATACAAATTAGAGCAAGCAATCAGACAGATGAATTTTCAGTAATTTGTTACGATGTACTTTACTTTCAGACTTACATACCTAGGAATGATTACTGGACTCTACTTCTTGGCCAACACAGTGTGGGGCTACCTCTACTACAGCATTGTCAAGCGACAGAAGAAAATAGCACTGAAGAATCAGTCCAAAGAAAATGGACAGGAGAGTAATGCAGTGACCAATGGACATGCCAATATCAACATTGCAGACATAGACGACATGGGCACGGAGTGCACTATTTAATGTGTTTTAGGAAGACCACACTATTGTTAAATATAAGTGAATGCCTGAATATTGTGCTGCATCCATACTGGACCAAATATTGGTCATTCTACAGCATCAGTACTTTTCGGAATTAAGCAGTAAACCTTGTTCTTTCGGGTAAAATGTAACAAAGCTCTAAAATGTAACAAAGCTTAATAAAACTAAAATGACACATTTTATACAGTACATCATAGGTGTCAAACTCTGGCCGGCGGGCCAAATTTGGCCCGCAGCCTAATTACATTTGGCCCGCGAAGCCAATACTAAATTATTATTAGAGCTGGCCTACTGGTATTATACAGCTAATATATATATTGTTTAGTATTAAGCTTTGCTTGTTCCATATTCAGTTTTTCAGCAAAACTTGTTTGAGTCCATAAGAAGAGATTCATTCTTAAATCTGGAGTAAGATTTTTTTTTCAGTAAATATTAACGTTAGCCCACGACCTTGTTCCAGTTTTGAATTTTGGCCCACTGTGTATTTGAGTTTGACACCCCTGCAGTACAAGAACATGCAGTCAAGAAAACAGAGCAGGGACACATGCTTTTCTTAATATCTGTCAGCAACACACCTGAGCAGAAACACACAGTTCATGTATGCTGAGACAAAGTAAGAAGAAAACGTGTCAGATGTTCGAAACAAGCTTGTCTCTGATCCTCTGTTTAAACTCAAGCAGCATTAGGTCAGGTAAAGCTAACAATGTCTTACCCTACAAGCTTATTTTAAAAGTGATTTTGTGGAGTACTAGTTTGATAGACATGTATATACTATTATGTACCACATACTGCTTGTGGTAGCATAACCTGGTAATACTTTTTTATTAGTTAATTTCATAAATATACAATATAAAGTTTTGGGAGAATACACTTATGTGCAGTTTTCTAAAAATCAATACCACTCCTTTGTCTATGTGAAGTCACTTACCTTAGTATAACACAAAGAGTAGAAACATGGAAAAAGGTAACAAACACCTCTAGCATCTCTAAATCTCACATCTGCTCATGCCATGTAGAATAGAAACTCCAGAAGTCACGGAGAGTTAGCTGTGCTACAGTATTTCCTAACTAGCACCAGTGACTTTGATTTACAACTACGAAAAGACAAACAGCATATCGCTAACTGTGTCTTAGAGATACTTGATGTTACAGCTAGCCTTGCTGCAACAGTAATTTTTAGGAAATATTCTAAGTCCGGTTCTTACTAAGTTAGAGAATGGACTTAGCATATTTCCTAAAATGTGAAATTAGTAGAGTAACATATTATTTTATTAAGTCTATAAGTTTATTTGTACTAAGTTACAGTAGATGTGACAGACATTTACATGTTGTCAAATAAACATACAGAATAGGATCTCAGTGTCCACTGAAAATGTGAATTCATTGTTTGAATGTCCCTCCTGAAATATGAATAATTGAGCTGCTTTATATACGTGCTAATCAAACTGATTGTGAAGGCTCATTAGCCATTCAGAGACTGTTCTGCACCAGCTCCAGACGAGCTTATCAGCCATGTTTCCAGTTTAATACCTCACAAACTTTGACACACATTTTTTAATGCACATGCATTTTGAGCCATGAAGGAGAGGAAGATGAGGGGGCCATTGAAAGTTAGTTGCATTTAACAGCTTGAGGTAACCTTTATTCTGAAAAGGTTGCCTTTCAGACACACATGTTACATCACATTGTAACACACAAATCCAAAGGTCATGAGAGTTCACAGAATCCTCGACTCAACAGTGTTTGCTTGGAAAAAGTTCGTAATGGTTGAGGCAGTGGACTAAGAGTGAGTGGGATAAACGAGAACTTGGATTTTATTTTGTTTTACTTTCCTACACCATGGTTTTTGTCTGAATGTATTATCAATCACTAGACAAAATTACTAGCAATAATGATGAGTTCTATATAGTGTTGGATATATTTGAGTTTGCCCGTACATGTTGTTTGGAAATCTTTTCAACCTTTTTACAATTTCTTTTTTGTCCTTGAAAAATATCTCTTGCATTAAAGACCAGTTTTGTCCAGATACATTTTGTTCTGCATTTTTTTGAACAACAACTCATTTTATCCTTTCACTCTAAAAGTGACAGAATTCTCTATACACTCACTAAGTTATGAATCAACAAGCTCTACAATATGTTACATTATTTAAAAAAGAGTCGCAATTAATAGTGACAAACTAACAGGTAAATACAATATACAAGACAAAGTGAAAATTTGTACAATTCTTTATGACCACCTTTATTCTTTGACACAGCCTGAAGTCTCTTAGCCAAGCTTTCCTGTAATCTCTTCAAGAAGGGTTCTCCAGGTTTGTGAAAGGACATTCAAAGCTCTTCTTTTTATGTTGGCTGCCTTTTGTATAAAAATGTAACAGTTCCACTGTTCCACAGTTCCACTGTTACGTAACAGTTACAAAAATGTAACAGTTCCACTGTTACATTTTGTTGTATATATATTTTTTCCTATTTCTTTAGAGCATGACGTTCAGATACTGTTTATCTGTTGGATATGAACTTTAAGGCCTGACACATCTTTTGTCTTCCATTTGTCCAGTTTTCTAAACGTTTTTAAGAACACACTGCACACCATGGTGAACTTTGCTGTTGCTGGCATTTTTCGTAAAATAAACAAAAGAAATCACCGGATTAAAAATGTTCTGTCCAAAGATAAAAGATTTCACTGAAAATTGGACCGAAAAAGAACCAGACTTGCTGGAAATCCTGGAGAGCTATTTCTCAAAAACACTTTAGAAAACTACAAGAAAGTCTGGCAAGGTCACCACTGTGGTTATGACTCTTTTTTTTCAGTGATTCGGTCTCTGTGTTTGCAGTTGTGAGTCTACAGAGCCGTTTGAGAACATTGATTCAGAATGATTCTCCTGAAATAAAAAGAAATGTTGTGCTTTTGCAGTGTTAGGGTACATCTTTTTTCAGTCATTTCAGTGTTTTTCTGGTACTTACTGTCACTGTTTTCTTGTTTCTTTTTTTGCATTTTCATCACGTTGCCTAGTTTAAAGTTGAAGGTTTGGATTACATAACCTGGCTTTTTAAAATTACATAAGCTTTTTTTAAACAAACATTGACTATCCTGTGTTTAATTTCCACTTGTTAAATACTGCTCCCCTTTCTCTTATTGGCCTAGAGACGATGTTTGAACTTAAGCCACGCCGTGTAAAGTGTTATAAATGTTATAACCTCCCTTATGTTATTACTTCTAATCACCTTTATTGCTAAAATGACTATTTGACCTGCTTTAGTTTGGTCTAGATAAAATTTAAGATGTTAGCTTTTTTATGTTACACTTTTAATCATCATGGTAAAACAGTTAACTGAATCCCATGACATGCTTAGTAGCATTGAGCGTTATCTTATTTCACCTGCAGGCTGTGCTCTACACAAGAAAATATCCACGGAAAAAATATGCAACTTCAGTGCTCTCACAACTTCTATTTACACAAACCAAAGATAATCAGATTTTTAAGCAAAATTGAAAGAATAACATTAACAAATTGAATCTTTAAAAAAAATCATCTTTTTTCCAGGCAGTACAGCTGCTGTTAGTCTAAAACGGAGTGCTGCAGTTATGGCCAGCATTCCTATCTGAATGCACTTGTAATTAAATTAAATATAGTAGCAGAAGACGTGTAAAGTATTCAAGTCAACTGTACTTTTCTGGAGACAAGTATAATTTCTGGTAATTAGTAAATGTGTCCCTCGCTGTTGCTGTGCAGGAATGTGAAGGCGCTAATCATAATCCCTGGAATGTTTGCAGGGACAAAGCTGATTGTGTGACCTGCTGCTTGGCTGCCAGGACCCCTCCTGCGGTCACTGGACTAATAGCACATTCTCGGGCAAAGGTTAATACAGAGACATATTGTTCCACATTTGAGGTCATCATCAAATCCATCCAACTCATCTGGTATCATTTGGTGCGTGAAATGCTGCTTGAACATTCACCACGCTGACAGTTCCCTTTTACACAGACATACTTTTTAAGCAGACTTTTAATCCCGTATAATTCGTCACCATGCACCTGATGTTTTACCTTGTGAGGAAAAATAAAAATCCTTAGGGACTGGTTTGAAGCTATTAATCTTCGCCCCCACACCTCCTCCTTACCCCTTTAACCCCCACTAAATCCAACCACCCACTGGAAGGACTAGCTGGCATGTGTTTGGAATAAAAATGTGTGAGGCCTTTTGTCTGCTTGTACCAAGCAAAAGCTTTGCCCTCAGACGGGAGAATAGGAGCTCAGGGAGAACAGATCTGTCTGCTCTCAGTAGGAAGAGCAATATATGGCTGCTTAAAGAGGAGCAAAAGAGGAAGAAGAAGGGGGAGACCATAGTCCCTTTCACCTGACGATGCACTAGGTATTTCATCAAACTTCCCAAGTGCTTCTTTTGCAGTTGTGATTTTACTAACGATTCCTCTTGCTATTACTAAAAATAATACATCTAAATTTCTTCAAATTCCTTCCACCAAGGATAAGGTGAGCTTGTAGGTCAAGAACGACTTAGACAGTAAGGTTAAGCCGCACTTTGAGTGAGAGTATTAACAAGTCTGAACTTGAAAAGGATTTATGGAGTTATGAGACAAAAACATACGGACTTTTCTGTCAGATTTTCACCCCCACAGTTTTTCTAACAGATCAGTGCTGCCAAAGTTGTCACTGGAGAGTTTTTCTTCCCGATATGGGCTTTAGCTGGAGCACCTGACATTTATAGACCTGAGAGGACTGTGGATTTTATACAGGTACCATCTGCTTTTAGATTTCACCTCCTTTCCATCACTGAAAACAGACTTGTGCATTGGAACCAAAAGGATTGACTTTGCACTGTAAAAAGTGTTTAGAATTGTTTATAGTCATGTGAATAAGAAAAAAAAAAAAAACCCACACACGATTCAGTAGCTTATAGAGCCAATTTTAGCAGCAATAACTTGGATTAATGGTTTTCTGTATGCCTTTATTAGTCTCTCACATCATCATGATCGTCGTGGAAAAATTACAACTTTGCTTCAGTTCATTGAGTTCATTTGTTTATGCACAGCTCAGGTCCCACATTCCCAAGGAATTTGACTGGATCATTGCAACGCTTTCTTTTTCGAGTACCCTGTTGGAAGTTTGTTGCTGTGCGTGAGATTGTATTGCATTGTGTTATCAAGTTTCAGCTAAGCTTTAACAATCGGACAGACAGTCTCACATTTGGCTCCGGAATACTTTGGTGTGCAGAGGAGTTCATGGCTGACTAAAGCTGACTGCAAGGGGGCCAGGTCCTGTGGCTATAAGACAAGCTCAAATTATCAGCGCTCCACCACTGTGCTTGGTAGGTTTGAGGTCTGTGTGTGCTGCTGTACTGTATTTGTCTTTTCACCAAATGTGCCGCTGTTCATTATGACCAGAAGCACTTTGTTCTTGTCTGCCCAAAGGATATTGTTCAAGAAATCTTGGGATTTTTTTTTTTAGGCAAGGCAAGTTTATTTATATAGCACAATTCAACAACAAAGGTGATTCAAAGTGCTTTACAGAGACATTAAAACACAAAAACAATAAAAAGCATGATTTAAAATTGATTAAAAAACAGTAGATAAAATCAGAACAGTAGATAAAATCAGAACAGTAGATAAAATCAGTAGTTAAAATATAAGTTTTGAAATTTAAGCTTAAGTGTGGATTTGGTGAAATGCAGCTGAGAACAGGTGAGTCTTCAACCTGGACTTAAATAAAATGAGTGTTTCAGCTGATCTGAGGCTTTCTGGGAGTTTGTTCCAGATGTAAGGAGCATAAAAGCTGAATGCAGCTTTTTTCCGTGTCTGGTTCTGACTCTGGGAACTGATTAAAAAAAAAAAACGGATCCAGATGACCTGAGGGATCTGGAAGGTTCATACTGGGTCAGGAGGTCACTGATGTATTTTGGTCCTAAAAAATTAAGAGCTTTATAGACCAGAATCAGAACTTTAAAGTCTATCCTCTGACGGACAGGCAGCCAGTGTAAAGACCTCAGAGCTGGACTGATGTGGTCCACTTTTCTGGTCTTAGTTTAGGTGCAACACTGCAAACCAAAGCCCAGTCATGGTATTTTAGAGAGGCTTTCTCTTGGCAACAATGAATACTTGTTCAGTTTTTTCCTCAATGCACTGTCATGAACTTTAACATTTAACTTGCTCACTGAGGTCTGTAGAGTCTGAGATGTAGTTTTCAGGTTGTTTACAATTGTTCTAAGCATTACATGGTCTGACCCTGGGATTCATTTTTCTAGATTGTGACATGGTGTTAACACACACTTGAATGCATATAAACACAAATGGCAACGTAAAGCTTGTGTTTTTTTTATAGAGGTGCTCAGACTCAGTGGTGATCAGTTAATCAAGTGCATTTAATTAACAGCACCTCGCTGCTTACAGTAAGTACTTAGCTTCTCACAGACTCTTTTTACCTGACTGATATACAGAAACTTCAGTGTTCTGAACAATGGTCTTACTCAGGTTTTGCACATACCCGTATTTTCACGACCAGAAGACGCACCGTACTAAAAGGCGCAGTCTCAGTTATGTGTGCCATTACTGTATTTAACACACACACACATAAGGCGCACCTGATTATAGGGCGCATACAAGTATGCGTGTTCAAAAATAAAGCGGGAGCAAAACTGAGTTTGGTACTCACATTTTCATTACCGGTAATTGTCATCAATCAAACCCATCGAAGTCCTCATCCTCTGTGTCTGAATTGAACAGCTGCGCTAAATCTCCATCAAACATGCCAGGTTCACTTTCTTCACCGTCAGAGTCACTTTCCGTGCCGTGCGGCTCCTCGGAAATGATGCCGGCTTTTGCGAAAGCTCGAACAACAGTGCCAGCAGACATGTTAGCCCAAGCATCTACAATCCATTGGCAAATTGTGGCGTAACTCGCCCGGCGCTGCCTTCCACTCTTAGTGAAACTGTGGTCTCCATCGGTCATCCATCGCTCCCAGGCCGCTCGCAGCCTTACTTTGAACGGGCGGTTCACACCGATGTCCAGCGGT